AAAAAAAAAGAATATGAATAGATTTAAAAGCATTGATCTATTTCTTTCTATAATGAATTGTACCAGTTTGTATTCCCAGCAACAATAAATAAGAATGACATGAATTATATTAAATATCATCTTTAAAGTCTTTGCTAGACTGACAAATGAAGAGAAAAAGCTGTGTAGTATCGTTGTGCTTGTGGATTTTCCTGTTCTCTGTTACTTCGCGTTCCCTCTCCTCCCTCCCCCGCTCCCTCCTCCTTTTCCTTCTCCTGTTTCTCCTCTGTCCTTGTAAATTTTGTCACATTTACTGCCAGTATTTCCTCCCCGTGCCTTGCCTTTTAAATTATAGTTGTTCCAATACTATATTTTTAAGTAAAATCTATCAATATTTTCCTTTGAAAGTTTTTCCATTCCTTTTGAGGTTTAGTTTGTTTTAGCAATCTGATAAAAAGAAAATACTGTGTTCTCTTCTACATGTTAACTATTTGCATCTTGTTTAAATTTATTTTTTCATCCACTTAGGACTTATTTTGATAGAGTTTTATGTGAGTACCTGCATTTTCCCAAGTGACCAGTCAGACTTGATAGCTCTTGAATAGCTGTCCTTTCTCTGCCGCTGCACATGTTTCCCTTAGCATATCTTAAATTACCATATGCACAATGTGCTATTTCTACAATATGCTTTCTATTTTTCTCCATTGAACTATCGCTGTCTATTTTTATTCTAGGACTACAGTGTCTTAATTAGTATAGCTGTATAATGTACTTTAACAGCTCATAATTGTCTTTCATTACACTTTTTTGTCTGAATTATATTAGGAATTAATCTTGTAATTAAATGTAATAATTATTTTTCAAGGTCCTATACCCTTGTAGGGCAAAAAAATCACTTCGTATATTGACTGGCATTGTCAAAATAAGTACAGTTATATATTTAGTAGGTTAGTAATTTTTATTTTTCTCAGGTGTCTCTCCATCTGTTCTCGTAGTAAAATTTCAGATCTCTCAGTACGAATTTGTGGTTCTCTTCCTATGGATTTGACACATCTCATTAAGGTTATTCCTTGGTGTCTTGTGTTTTTGGCCACCAGTGTTGGGAGGTCTTTTTGATAGTGTAAATATAGAACATTTGATTGACTGAAGAATAATTATTCTTATAAAAATATAAGAAAAGAGTTTCCATAGCACCTTCGATGAAATCACTGTTGTTCATTCTAATAGTTTTTCAGCTGATCCTTTTCGTTTTTCTAGGTAGATGGTCAGTTCATCTTCAAATGGTGACATTCTGTCTTCTCCAACTCTTGTACCTTTCATTTCTGCTTCTTGTATTTCTTTGAGTTAGCAAGCACTTTGGGAGCACCGTAAAAAATCTGGTGCCATTGTCTTCCAGCTCAGTTCTGATTTTATACTCTCTTTCTTTAGTATGGTTTGAATACAGCAGTCTGTGATTTGAGGCAGATATTCTTTCTGGTCCTGGATTCCCTGTGCCTCTGAATGGTGCCATGAGTCTCCCCGCATCCCAGGGCACAAGCCTGGTGGACTTGGGCCCCATCCCTATTCCAGCATGTCCGCCTCTCTGCTGAGTCCTTTGCTGCCCCTCCCCAGGTCCCTCATCTGCCTCCTCCCTCCCGTGTAGGTTCCTGGTCTGGCCCTTTTAGTCTCCCTGACTGCAGACCATATTAGGCAGGGGCTGCCATACTGATCTTTAAAAGCTCAGGCCTGGTTGCTTCTACTCTCCCTGAAAAGTCTGCTGTGGCTCTCCATTGCCCAGTGGCATTCTGGGCGTCCACTGTGATGTGTAAGTCCTTCCATAAGATGTCCCCACAGCCCTCCCTGGCACCCTGTGCCCCCTGCCCTCACACCTCCTCAGCACTCTGCTGTTCTGCTCTTACCTCAGGGCTTCTCAGTGTGTTAGCATTGAGTTATGCTGACGGAATGCCTGAGATAATCAACTTATCCAGAAGAATGGTGGGCGGTAGGCTCGCAGTTTGGGGGACTGATGTTGGCTCTGGCCTTGGGCCTGTGGTAAGGCAGCTCAACATGGAGGGAGTTTGTGTGGAGCAAAGGTGGGGAGCAGAGAAGAAGAAGAAGTAGCCAGGGCCCCGCTGTCCTCTCCCGGGGCACACAGAGACCTGAGGACTTCCTGCCAGGTCTCACCCACCTCCCAGCAGCTCCGCTGTGGGGACCTCAACATCCACGTGGGAGCTGGTGTTGCCCAGCCTGCACCATCACCGTCCTGCCAGGGGTTGCAGCTTGCTTTGCCTTCCCAGCAGTGTCCCACAATGCTGTGCCAGTAGAATGACTAGAAACCTGTCACTGGTGCCGAAGCTGCTGTCACATTCAGGGTGAAGCAAAGTGGGAAAGAACAAAAGGAGAGAGCAAGGGTAATTTGGTGGGGGGCGCTTTCTGCAAACAGCTGAGGTGAACTCCCAGCTGAGCCCCATTCCTAGGTACCTGGAGCTCCAGAGGAGAGTGACACACGATGCTGGTCTGAAGGGCACTTTCAGTCTGCAGGTCAAGTTTCCTGCTACATTATTTACAATAAATGAAATAGTGACCATGCCCTCAGACCCCCCAGGGAAGAGGAGGGAGGAGGGCACAGGGAGAGGGATGCTGAGTCTGGTGTCCAGAAGCAGGGGCAGCAGGGTGAGGTGCGTGTGTGTGTGTGTGTGTGTGTGTGTGTGTGTGAGAGAGAGAGAGAGAGAGACAGAGAGAGAGAGACATACCTCCCCATTCCAAGCTGGCATTTCTAGGGAAAATCCATAGTTTCTCATGCAATCCGTAAGAGGACACACTGACTGCCCAGGCTGCTGGCTGCTGTTACCTCAACTTGGAGAATCACCATAACCCGCTTGCCCATGTGCATCCCTTCCAGCTGTATTTATCCAGTGACCACAGGACCTTCCTGAGGTCAGCCAAGAAGTCCTGGCTCCAGGAGGTGCACCTGACGGACGAGGCCTCATACCTAGCCAGGTGGCAGGCCACCTTCCTGGACCCCCAGCTGCGCCTGGAGCATGAAGGGCTCCCGGTCCGGGTGAGTATGCTGTGCACAGGACAGGACACAGGGTGCACACTGCAGGGGTGGACACACCCCACCGTGTCTGGAAAGCAGTTTCCTGCAGCTCACACCCTGCACTCACTCTCCTTTCTTCGATGCATAACTCACTGGGGGAGCACTGGCCTGTGCTGTGCACCACCCTGCTTGCTGTCTCCATCCTGTCCATGGGAAACAGCTTCTCAGGAAGCCAGGCCCCATCCCTAACAGGCTGAGTGGCCTGATGTGTCACCACAAAGCCAGCGGCCCTGTGACCCTGTGTCCTCTGAGCCATATTTTTTGGGTGAAGGTTACGTTGCTCTTCTCTCTGCCATAGTGCTTAAACTCAACCAGTCAGGATTTTAAAGTCATATTTGTTTTTTCTAATTATGAACAAATATATGCTTGCTTATAAAGTCAAAAACCACACACAAAATGCAAATTACCAATAACAGTTGCACCTTCCAGAGACAGCCACTACTGTTCACCATTTGTTTTTCTCTATAGATGTGCATGTGTGGATTTTTGAGGTGTTTTTAGAGAGCAGGACATCATAAATATTTATTTTTCAACTTACACCTTTGATCATGCCACTTTATTAAAGATCTCCATTATGACTTGGAATGATCACTCTGTCACACAGATATCTATCACATTGTGCTTAATCACATTTGATTATGAGTTGGCTTCCAAGTGATTCCATATATATATTAAATTGAAATCAATATATGTTATTTCTATATTTTTTGCTTATAGGAAATTGGAGGTCTTAATTCAGAATGCTAATGGCACACTTTTTTTTTTTTTATCTGTAAAGGCAAATGAAAAAATTCTCATCTATCACTGTCAGACAAATCAGGGCCTGGCAGTCCACCGGCAGCTTTTCTTAAGGTAATGGTATTGAAGCGTACAATAAATGCCAGGATTGGGGCTGTGGTGTGACTTCCTGCTTAACCACTGTTCCGGCTTGTAAACCACTGCTCAGACTTCTGACTCATCTTTTTCTATATGGTTCTGTGCATCTTGTTTCTAGAGCCTCAATACCTTTTTTTTGTACACTGCACCTTGTTTACACAACACAGTGATTTTTGCTGATTGTACTGTACAGTGCAGTGCTGTAGTTTTATATTCTTTTATACACTACAGTGCTGTGGGTAGGAGCACTGTAAAGATAAGAGCAGTCCTCAAACTGGAGTTTCCTTTGACCAGTTCTTTGTTCTGAATATTTAAGGTGCATCCTATGCAATTCTGCCTTTAGCGACCAGTTCATTTAATGACCTAGTCTCAGGATCGGAGCTGGGTGGTTAAACAAGGAGACTCTGTTCACACATGGATGTTCAGCTTAAAGTTGTGGGAAAATAATGTCCTCTGGTGCTGAGATGTTGCCACCTGGAATCATGGTGGTGCGAAGGTTCTTGCAGGGGGGTCCCCGTCCTTCACACAGGCCCTGCCTCACAGGAGGATTTTAGGGAGGAGGGGACCAGCTGCACCTACCCCTGGCCCCACATGGGGGACCCTTCTTGGAAACATGTTATGTATTACAGACCCCAGGCCTATGGGGGTGTGCTACAGTAGGTGCTGAGATGGAAGGAGAGCTGTGGGCTGTTGTGACTCAGTTTCTCGACTCTTTCCTGCTGCAGGACCTATTTTGGGAAGGAAGTTGAGGTTGCTGCTCACACACATCTGGATTCACACAGAGCTGAGAAGCCAAAGAACTACTGGATGTTGGTCACTGGGAATCCCACGGATGCCTCGTCCACCATGCTGGGCCTGCGTAGACAGTCGGCCGAGGACACTGGTACCATGGTGCCGGCTGTGGTCTGTCACACAGAGTGACATGTCAGGCACATGTGTGATCTGAGCTCAGCTCTATCAGATCCACCTTTAAAGGACATTGCCAGGCTCCATCATGCCTTGAGCCATTCTGAGTAAAGTGGGGAGCTCTCTGAACATGACATTGACATTAAAGCAAAGGCTGTATTAAGATCAGTGAGTCCATAGTGGGATTCACAGGAACACAGCTCTGGGGAACAAACAGCCTTGGAAATGGCAAATGGGGGCTTTTTGGCCATAGCCAAATCCTGAAGAACTCAGCAGCTCCTGGTTGGAGCCTGACCCACAGCAGGTCCTACCAGGACAGTTACTTCAGAGAGCTGTCCATAAGAAAGCTTTCCCCTCCACTGTACAGTGGGGGGTAGCTGTGGGCTGAGGTCTCGTCTTGGCATTAAAAACTTCCCTCCCAGGAAAATATCCTATTTTCTACCTCTGTAGAAACATCCTATTGTTTCTACCTCTGGCTTAGTTCCTCTACCTCATGGGTGACCTCCTATTATGTAATGAGTTTCAGACCGCAGAGGACCTTCATCTCTACCATTCTCTGCACCACCACATGATTGGAAAGCCCTCTGCATAATGAATATGGATCATTCTATGTCTTTGTGCCTCTTATTCATGAGGCGTTGTCATAGGGTGGTAGTTTTGGGTCACCCATGAACAGACAGAGGCAGGAAGGAGGCCTTGGTGATGCACCTGTGGTTACATACATGCGACTTGGCCACTGGGCACAGTGTCCTCTTTTAGGACTGCAGATAGTGCCATCAGGAGCTGCCAGAGTTGGGGGCAGAGGTCCCACCTGTTGGCTGGACTGACTTATGGCTCAGTGTGATGTGTGATGTATTGGCTTCACCCTGGGGAACTTTGGTAACTTCTGAGGCTGGGGCCCAGCACAGAAATTCCAGCTTCATGTCTGCATGCAGCTTGTGTCCAGCATCTTCAGAGGGCTCCATATGCAGCCTTGGGGACCCCCATGCATTAGGGGTGTTGGAGAAGGAATTGCCATTCCTCAGGTGTGCAGGGAGAGCTTTTCCCATTTGGTCTCAACCACTGCACCTTTGGGCCACCTGAAAGATGAGAACCCCCAGTGTCCAGGCTGTTCAGATCAGCATCTCTGGGGCAGGGCTTTAAGAAAATGTGGACACTTTGGCCTGGACTTATCTCTCGGGATACTTGGTGGTTTATTTGGAGTGGAGCCCAGGGATCAGTATTTTGAAAATCTTGCTAATTTAATGTGCAGCCTGGGATGTGACGCCCTCCCTTTACTGGGAACAACATGAGGCTAGCTGATTGTCTCCATAAGACAAGACCGGGGTGGAGTGGGCAGGGCTGGATGCCACAGCCTTCTGGGCAAGACATTCTTCACCAGTAAGAGCGCTCTGCCAGACCTGAGCCAGCTCTGGTGGGCCCTGCTCCACCCAGGGAGGGGGCTGTCCAACGACAGGGGCACCACATGCCTCCAGTGAACAATTGTCCCATGGTTTCTGGACTGCAGCACCGAGGAGGGATTATCGCCACCACCAGGAATCAGTGCTACTGACTGTTGGCATACTCGTCCCCAAGGACAAGAGCCCGGTGACTGTCAGCTGGCTGACAGCAAATGTGAAGCACATTACTTTAACATACACACCGCATTCATAGAGGTTAAAACAGAGAGAGAAGACCCCATGCATCTCAGGAGAGAGGAAGCACAGTCAGCAGGTGCAGCACAATCTCTTGCAAGGGAAGTAGCCTGTCACAGGGGTCACAGAGAAATCTGCACATTAGCGCTACTGCGTGGGGTCTGTGGGTGCCTTGTAGGGTTGTAAAGGGCATTCACAGCTCACCCCTTTGATTCTGTACTCTCTGGGGTTATGTAGGGCCTGTTTCATTGCTTCTCTCCCCAACCCCGTTTCTTGAGAAATATCTGTTAAGGGGGTGAAAAAATCATCAGGTGAGCTACTGCATACCTTTTACACAGAAGGCAGCTCCCATGAAGTGAAGGAGCTGCTCAAGGTCACACAGCTCAGAGCAGCAGAATGAACTGGGCTGGGCCCTCCAAAACCAAGGGCTGCTGACCTCAGCACTCTTGGTTTGTGGCCAGTTCTTTGCTGTGTGGACTTCTCTGGGCATTAGAAGATGCTGACAGCACCCATGGCCTCTACCCACTCAGCACTTCTACTGGTGCCAACCTGTAGGCATCACTGGATGTCCCCTTTGAGGACCCCCATCATCGACTTTCTTGTAGA